TCGACACTTGGCGGACTCTAAGATAGCGGCGGCCCTCCTGGGCGCAGTCACCGTGGCAGCCCTGGGCGCGCCTCCCTGCCCTGCTGGGTCTCGCCGCCAAGGCCTTCGTCGCAGCGCAGCTTGCTAGCCGGGACGCCAGCATCTCGGCGCTCCAGGGGGCCAAGGCCGACGCGACGCTGCTGGCCTCGTACGCCACGAACGCCGCGCTCTCAGCCAGCGAGACCACGGTTCAGAGCGCCCTCGACGCAATCCTCGCGGAGCTCGCCGCCCTGCAGCTTTCCGGCAGCGGCGGAGTTGTTAACGCGCCGGCCTGGGCGGGCTTCACTACTTGGGAGCTCGTTCGCGGAAGCAACGTCGTTCGCAACCTGCATCTGGAGGCTCCTCTCTCTGCTGCGCTGGCCAACGGCGAGGACACGCTGAGCGTCACGGCCGACTGCTACTCCGTCGCAGCGGCGGACGCGGCCCTCGCGGCTGCGCTGCTGGCCTACTACACCTCCTCACAAGTGGACGCGCTGTTGGGAGACTACCGCACAGGGGCAGCGCGGAGACGACCGGGGCCATCACAGCCGCGCTGCTGGCTTACTACACCTCCTCACAAGTGGACGCGCTGTTGGGAGACTACCGCACGGCGAGCGCGCAGGACACGCAGACGCAGGCCGCCATCACGGGCGCGCTGCTGGCCTACCGGACGGGCCCGGACCAGGACGTTTTCACAACCAGCCAAATCACCTCGGCGCTGGCGGCGTACCGCTCGGCCGCCGACCAGGACACGGCAACGGCCTCAAGCATCGCCGCCACCCTGCTCAGCTACTACACCATCGCACAGGTGGACGGTTTGTTGGCTGACAAGCTCGGAGTCACGGAGGCAGCCTCGGCCCTGCAAATAGCAGTGCAGGGGCCAACGAGGTGGTGGCCGCCATAGGAGAGCAGATCCTGGGCCCCACGGACGTCTCACTGTCAAACTGGACGGTTCGCCCCAGCAGCGGCTGCAGCGTGGTTGGCCACCCACACCGCGGGCACAGTGAACGTGGACGGCTACACCCTGACCCTGGCAGTGAACCCGTGGCACCTACAACCTGACGCCGGCTCGGCGCGGCCTCCAACTTCGTGGTGTACATGTCCGAGGCCGACAACGTCTACGACCCCTTGTACGGCAGCTTCGTGGGTGACCAGGGCGCCTGGAGCACGGCCAAGATGTACTTCACAGTGCCTCCGAACGGAGTTGCGCCTCGGCCAGCTTCACGGTGGGAGGCTTCCAGCTGGAGGGCTACCCTGAGCGCCTTCGCCTGGAACATTGCGCACACCTACACACTGACGCCGGGGAGACGCTACTCCTTCGGCTGCCGGTACCGGCTGGGCACGGCCTCCAACTTGGTGATGTACGTCAGCGCTGCCGACAACGACTACGTGGGCGTCACCGGCACCTTCCTCGGCACGGCCGCGCAGGGTGTCTGAAGCACGGCGCGCCTGGACTTCTCGGTGCCGCCGGGCGGAGTCGCGAAGCTCCACTTCACAGCCTTCGGCGGCTCGATCTCCGGGCTGGTGCAGCAGTCGGCGGGCACGCTGGACCTGTACAGCCTGCAGATCAGGGCCAGCGCCTTTGAGGGAGAGGACCTGCTGGCCGACTCGCTGGCCCTCACGGGCTCGGCCACTCTGGACGGCCTCACTGCGCAGGGCAACGTGGGCTGCGACCAGCTGCTGTGCAACGACGTGAACTGCACGGACGTGTTCACGACGGGCGTGGACCCTCGGGCGCAGTCTCCTGCGCAGCGCTTACAGCAACCGGCACCGTCACCGGAGCCACGCTGACGTCCACCGGCGCCGTGTCGGGCAGCTCGCTGAGCATCACGGGGGCGGCCAGCGTGGGCCTGCTGAGCTCGGCCACCGGAATCACCGGCAGCACTCTGACCATCAACAACACGGCCAACGCCGGGAACTTCACCACGGTCGGCGACGTGTCCACGGGCACCCTGACGGCCTCCGGCGCAGCGACGGCGGCGAGCTTGGCAGCCACCGGACGGTACGGGCGCCACGCTGACGATCACCGGGGCGGCGTCCGCTGGCCCGCTGGACTGCGAGAGCCTGGACTGCACCTTCACGGCCACGAGCGGCGGAGTGTCGACGGGCAGCGTGGTGTGCGGCGACGTGACGAGCTCGGGCACGGTCTCCGCGCCGCAGCTCTTCGCGTCCAACACGCTCACCGTGACCAACACCTCCGACTTCTCGGACGATCTCTTCCTGACGAAGAACTGGGCGGGCTGGAGCAAGCTGCAAGTGTCCAACAACAGCGCGGCGTCCGACAGCGGCCCGGAGCTGCGGCTGCTGGGCAACCAGAGCGCGCGTGTCTTCCTGGAGCGGGACGGCGGGGCGCACCAGTGCGAGCTCATCATGATCAACGACGAGGCGCTGGTGCAGACGAAGAGCCTCTCGACGCAGCTGTCCCTGACCACGAACCAGAGGAACCCCGGCTGCCTCGTGATCGCCGGCAAAACGGGCAACGTGGTCTGCAACACGAGCTTCACGGACTTGTCGGACAGCCGGGTTCGACTCCGTGGAGGCCAAGCAGTACAAGCGCCCGGACATGAACGGGGGCCTGAGGCTGGGCTTTGCCTCGGACGACTTCGCAGGAACGAAGTGGAAGAATTTGACGGGGACCACTCGGTGGAGCGACGGCACGGAGATGGTCACCCTCGACTACTCGCACCTGACCAGCGTGCTCTGGGGGGTGTGCAAGGGCTTCCAGGCCCGGCTGGACGCACTCGAAGCCTGGCAGGCCCAGCGGGGGCCGAAGAACAAGTAAACATGGAGGCGCGGCCGACGACTTCAACGTGCGGGACCCACGACATCTTCACCCGGGAGGCTGCCGTGGAACCTCTGCAGAACAAGAACCCAGAGACGGTCGGCCGGGCCACCAAGCGTGCCGCGCAGGAGCTGACGGGGGACGACAAGAACTTCGTGGTCACGACCGACCTGGGCAACGAGTTCGCCACGCTGGACCGGGAGCTGCCCGCGGAAGCCGTGCACCGCACGAAGCGCCCCGAGGACCGCAACGCCACGGCCGTGGTGGACCGGGGCATCCAGACGCTGAAGAAGGACCTGGCCACGCGCGTGGCCCGGCCAGTGGAGCGACCACTTTGAGCAGACCGCTTCGGCCTACAACGCGCGGCCCCACGAGACGGTGCACGGCGCCCCGGAAGACATGGAGAAGCAGCCGGCCACAGAGTTCAGGGTCCTCCAAGACAACGCCGACAGGTTCCAGCGCAACAAGGACTTGACGAACCGCCGCATCAAGGCAGTGGAGGACGCGGGAGCTTTCCGAGCACCGACGAACGCGGCGAGGAGCTTCAACCCTCAGTGCGGCGACGTGCAGCAGCTGCGGGCCGTGGACTCCATGACCGTCCAAAGCACGGAGGGCCGGGAGACCCTGCTGAAGCTGGCGCTGCCAGCGGTGCAGGGCAGCGGCAACGCGGTGGGCCGACTGACGAGGCGGGGCAGGCCGGTTGCTGCGAGGCAGCTGGACGACTTCCTGGGGGCTCCGGGGCCCAGGACCCTTGACTGACAGCTGGAACCGATTGAGCCAAAAAAGCCGTCACATCTTGCCAGTACCGCAAAACACGCGTTAACAAGAAGCGCATGGTGCAAAAACGGCCTGAATTCGTCTACACGTTTAGAACAAGAAGTGCGTGGGGGAAGGGGTTGGCGGAAAACTCGCACCTGCCCATTGGTGGAAAGTTTCACATCTCTCTCTTCGGCCGGGGGCCCGGACACCCTCGGGTGGCTCTCGTACGGCTGCCTTTACGGCCGATAATCCTTTCCAGCTGGCAACTTTGCAGTACTTTTGAGCCAAACCGCGCTTTAAAAAAAAGAACAGCCGCAGTGCGGTTGGGGGGAAAGAATCGCGTCCCGTAACTTATTGGGGGGGTGTCGTGGAGAGGTCAGAAGGCTTCTCAAACATCACTGCATGAGCGCAAAACACCTCAAAAACTCATCCCGGCTCAACAATGCGGGCACCTTTGTCGCTGCGCGGCGGTGCCTGTACTGTGAACGCCACCCGCGTCAGGCTTCAACTGAAACCTCGGCAAGAAAGGGCCATGCAATTTGCTCCGATCACAACACCAAGCATCTGACTGGACTGGCTGGAAGTTACAGTGGAAACGGCCTGCCGCAGATCATGCAAACACACTGCCAGGACATGGAATCGACGCGCCTTCTGCTCAGTTTTCTGCGGGATCCCGATCACCTTCCATGCCTGGTAAGACGCCTTCAGCCCATTCACATGAATGGAGATTCCGCATCTCCAGCAAGCGCTGCACCTCCCAACCTTTGCCAAAGCATTCAAGCATATCGAGTATGTCGCCGAGCTGTGGGTAAGGGCGCTCCGGCTGTTCGGGACCGCCTTCCGCCAAGAAGATCAGAATGTCACGAGGGCAAGACTCTACGAGCTCGCAGAGGCACTTCAGGGTCAAGTCACAAACAAGGTCGTCACTCATGATCATACGTGCTTCATCCAGTTTTTCCACGGCATAACAGATGGCCAATTGCTCCTCCAAACACTGCTCAAACGCCTGACGTGTCAACGGAGAGCTCCCCACAGAGGTCGCTACATTGACCTGGGAAAGTCTCACCACATCTACATCATCCAACCGCCTCCCGATTTCCCTCCACAGGCTCGCAGGCACGCCTCTGGAGGCTCCACCTTGGCCGCGCGCAAAAAGCACATCGATGCCCCAACTACCTTAAGCGCCCTAAGTGCCCTAAGTGCCCTAAGTGCCCCCAATGCTTCGAGTGCCCCGGTTTCTTCGTGGCTCTAGCGCTGAATCGGTCTCAGCGATACTGTTCAGCCAAGCAGGTCCTAGACCACTCCAGTGCTTCGAAAAATGATCGAGGCGCCTGGTCTGTACCGGGTCATTGGATGCCAAGTAAAAGTTTCAATTCGGCTCACAATCCTTGGCATCGTTCTGCTCAAAGAAGTGGCCACCGCCACCTGGTATGGGCGGGGCCTGACAACGGCGTCGCGGTTCTGGAGAAGATCCGGGCGATCTTCATCAGCAACCACATCAGGCCAGGAGCGCGGCCCGCCAGGACGTTGGGCTCAGTCCGGGTAAAGCGCATTGGCCATGGCACAATGCTCAATCGCCTTTCAACTCCTCCGTCTAGGTCCGTGAAGGAGATGGACTTGTTGGTCGAGAGGATCATCCCGAATTGCACCTGCACATGATGCCATTGAGGAAGAACTGTGAAAACGGAAAATGAAAAAAAAACGACATGAAACAACAGCAGCAACCCTCGCCTGAAACTCCACAATGTCACTGAAAAGGTTGCGCGCTTGCACGCGCGTGCAGTGCTCGCTCCACTGCTTGAAGATGGAGCTATGCACGGCCGCGGCCCGCTCCATCTCCGAGAACGTCACCAGCCGCGTGCCCTGCAGCCGCATGCGAGCAGGACTCGCACTCTCCAGGCCCTTGGCCGGGCAGCTCAGCAACTCGTGGCCCAGATAGATGCTGTAGGTGCCGAACAGGGCCGCCAGCTGCTCCTGCCACCACGTCTTGCCGTTGCCCCCCTCCCCCACCCAGCAGTGGGCTTCCTCCAACCATTGACCCCGGCATTGAGCCGCTCCTGCAGCTCCACCGGCAAGGTGCTGTCCTCGAGGTAGTCGGTCAGGCCGGCCTCAAAGTCCCGCACGGCCTGCAAGCTCGTCACAAGGTCGCCCAGCTTGGAATCCAGCTGCTCAAAGAGCCCCTCATTGTAGTCGATGTTCAGGTGCATTGAGATCAGAAGCTCCCTCCTTCTGTGGTGACGCTGTAGTCGTCACGGTCCATCACCTTCCCGTTGCGGAACATCACGAAGCGGCGGTAGGCCTCCCCGTTTAATTTCCGCATGAAGACCGCGTCGTACAGCTTGCCCTGCAGGGCGCTCTTTGCAATCACCCGCATGGCCGCGGTGCGATGCGCCACTGCCGGAGGCATGCCCTTCCATTTGGGCGGAGTGGCGGAGAGGATGACCTCCAAGGCAGAATCTCGCGGGACAACAGCTTCACCACGAGCTTGTCGGCGTTGTCAATGCCCGTGGCAAGGTACCCCGTCAGCTTGCGCCTCACCTTCTCCGTCTCCAGCCAGTCACTGTCCTCCCGCGTCCAGTCCAGGTCCGGGTAGAGGCCGACTGCATGACCTCCAGAGCCTTCTTCTGCCAGGCGGCCAGGTCAAAGTCTGCAGGGGTGTGGAAGGGGGCCACGACGAGGCCGTCATGTTCCCAGCTCACCACCTGGCCGAGCCGCGACTGCTGCATCTCATCCACGATGCGGCGCTCCTTGCGTTGACACAGAAAGGTCTGGAGCTGGGCCTCCACATACCCCTTCCGCTTCTCCAGAATGTGCACGTACTTCGCATTGGCCTTGTCTTGAAAATCAGCCTTGCGGATTGTGGCAAGTTCGTCCATCAGCTTCCACACGAACGGTGGTAGGTTGGAGAGACGATGGGTAAGCCTGAAGTCCTCCACAAGGAGTGCCCACCCGCGAAGAGGACGGCGTTCATGAACTTCTTCGCATCGACGCGGGGCACTCCCAACTCGCGGTAGACGGCCTCCCTGTCCTCCACCAAGCGCCTCAAACAAGGTGAATTTGGGTGGCAATTGAGGAGGATTTGCGCTGAGCTGTTGCACTGGTCTATATTGGCCAGAGGGAGACCGCTGCGAATCAGGCTTCGCTCCAAGTTGGGCAGTGTGAAGGCAGCGCGAGATGTTGCGTAGCTCTGCATGCCGGCATTGCGGAGCTCCTCGAACACTGGCGGGAGGAAGTGGTAGTTGCCCACAACCTCACTAAAAGACTTGCCTTTCCCGCCAGGCGTCATCGCACTCCTCTGCTCCTCGGACACCGCTCGTCGTATAGGTGCTGGTGGAAGCCAGAGTACATCCGACCCTGGAAGCCCATCTGCCTGGCAGTGCCGCATGCGCGGTACACGCTCCACACATGGCCAGTGCCCCGCACATCTCTTGCAAGGAATTCAGACAGAGTGGGCCTGAGGTTGAGTTGGCCGGCTGCCCGCAGCTTCCCAAACGCGTGGATGTTCTCCACGGCAATGGGCTCACACATCCATCTGTCTATGTAGAGGTAACTCGAAACATCACCTCGACTCTTGAACGGCGCCGGCGGCTTTTGGCGGGCCTTGAGGGCCTTCACGACCGCGGACTGCTCAGCCTCCACGGCCTCCATGGGCTCCACAGGCTGCTTCTCCGGGACCGCTGTGGGCTTCTCAGCCTCCCTTCATGGGCTCAGGCTGCTTCTCTCAGCCTCCACGGCCTCCATGGGCTCCACAACAGGCTGCTTCTCCGGGACCGCTGCGGGCTTCCGAGCCTCCACGGCCTTCTCCAGGGGCTCTGCACGTTGCTCCTGTGAGCCTGCTGGTTTCTCGATCTCCTTTTCCACAGATGCGCTGCCGCCAGACTCCTTCGCCTGGCCCCCCACAGCGGAGAGCCCCTCAGCGGCCTCGACCTTTGCCTTGGGCATCAACAACGACTACAGCTGAGCCACAGTTGCCCGGCGGGGCGGTTCTATGATCTGCTGCGCCAACTCTTCCTGTAAGGGGGCCTTGTGCACCCTCTTTTGCTTCTTCGAGGGGTGCGCCTCCAACTCCGACTCCAATCGCACTGCATCCCAGGTCACGACGCCCTAACCCTCCATGATGGCTGCAAGGGCATCTCGCTTGGCAGAATCCGTGGGCTGTGCAGCCCGCTGACACACCATGTCGAGCAACTTCTGAGCGTGCTCGCTGTTGCCCGAAATGACTGCTTCCTGCAGCTGGTCGAAGTGGCAGGTAGGGGCCTCATCCGGGTTCGGCTTCCCCCCCCGGGAGAGCTCGCCAACATAGCCAGACTGGCTTGAAATGACATGGTGAGATCCGAACTGGTCTGCAACCACACACTGCACTGCGAGATGCACCCAAGACGAGACATGGAAATCGGCACTCTGAGAAGCCCACAAACCACCGGAAGGAGCTGGTCCGCGACATCCATCACCTGGACGCAGTGCCCTGCAAGCCCTAAGTGCCCTGGGTGCCCTGGGAAGGCCTGAGTGCCCTGAGTGCCCTGATTCCCTGGGTGCCCTGCTGGGTGCTGGGTTCCGGTGTCTTGGGTGCCTAAGTGCCCTGAATGCTAAGTGCCCTAACTCTGAGTGCCCTGAGTCCCCTGGGTGCCCTGAGTGCCCTGAGTGCCCTGGGTGCCCTGGGTGCCCTAACTGCCCTGGGTGCCCTAAGTGCCCGGGTGCCCCAAGTGCCCTGGGTGCCCTGGGTGCCATGAGTGCCCTGGGGTGCCCTGGGCGCCCTGAGTGCCCTGGGTGCCCTGAATGCACCATCAACGTCGGCACGCAAATTCCAAACTCCGACCAAACAGGCCCGTAAACTTCTAAGATCAGCGCCAATCGAGAACGCCGAAAGTGTAGAGGTACCTGCAAGGAAGGAATCACAAGCGGACGAAAACAAAGAAAAAACACAAACCGAGGAGCACTGGCAGAGGTCGACCAGGCTTGCTTAACAAACCTCAAGCGAAACGTCTGGGCGGGGGGCACAGAGACTCGCTGACCCAGGGCACTTAGGGCACTTAGGGCACTTAGGGCACTTGGGGCACTTGGGGCACTTGGGGGGGGGCTTGGGGCTTGGGGGCAGGTGGGGGGCCAGGCAGGACAGGGGCAATTGGTGTGATACATACACACACATACACACATACATACACAACATAATAGATATGTTAATACCTTCCATAATATGATTGCAACCAATTGTATATCCACTCTAATTTATTCTCTGTTTTTTTGTTTTTTTATATTTATTTAACATACTAAAAAAATATTCTGTAAAATAAAACAAAATAAAAAATAACCACTTATACCAACAATAAGCGAATATGATCATATGGGAAAGAGGGGGGGTGCACATAGGCCCCTGCAACCAACACACACACCCTGCCCCCCTCACCCCCCCCCACCTCTTCACATACCCTAAGTGCCCTGAGTACCCTGAGTGTCTCGGGGGCAGACGGCGCACACAAGCAGAAGCTCTGAGGATCCTGGCCGCTGCCAGGTTGATGCTGGTACCTGACACGAGTGGACACAAGGTTTTGCGTTTGGGGCTTAGGGCACTTAGGGCACTTAGGGCACTTAGGGCACTTAGGGCACTTAGGGCACTTAGGGCGCCCAGGGCTCACGAAAACGCAGAGGGGTGTCCTGAAGGCAGGTCATTTGACTTCACTGGGATTGGGTGCACAACGTGGCAGGGTCGATGGTCGGCGGACCTGAAGGCAAGGGTGGACGGGGTTGGAGAAGCGCCGCAAAACGTGGCCTGATCCACAGGGTCGATGGTTGGCAGACCTGAAGGCAAGGGTGGACGGGGTTGGAGAAGCACCGCAAAACGTGGCCTGATCCACAGGGTCGATGGTTGGCAGACCTGAAGGCAAGGGTGGACGGGGTTGGAGAAGCGCCGCAAAACGTGGCCTGACCCACAGGGTCGATGGTCGGCAGACCTGAAGGCAAGGGTGGACGGGGTTGGAGAAGCACCGCAAAACGTGGGCCAGACCAAGGGAGTTTGAAGGGCTTCGTCACGAATACTCTGAGGGCGACACTTTGCAGCGTTGACGTTGCACCTGATAAGGATGACGCCTGGCGAGCGCATGAAAAAAAACAGGTTGTTGCAGTTCGTGTTGGCCTCACCACGTAAAATTGGCGAGTCGGGCCCAACCTGAAACACTACTCGAAGGCAACCAACCCACACAGCACCCCACAAGAGGCAACTTCCAGAGGGCCGCACCACAAGGGAGCGGCGGGCCGGCAAAAACGCGGGCCGGGCTTACGAGCGCAGGGACTGGCTCCCCGCAAATGTCCTGGGTGGGGAGGCCAGCCGGCAGCCCGACAGGCTGTCGGAGCAGCAAATACTGCAAAACGTCAAGCAGGAGACGCTGCGGCTGGTGGCCGCGGGGGACGAGGACCGCGCCGCCGGCAGGGCGCCCATGGAACTCAGCGACGAGACGTACTTCTACGACCCGGAGGGGGAGTGGGTGGTGTCCTCGGAGACGACGCAATACCGGAACAGCCGCGTACACGTAGAAACCATCCTGCGGCAGAGGCTGCGAGGCCTGCGCCGCGTGTCGTACCAGCTGCCGTGCTTCAACAATATCCTGGAATGCGCATTCAAGGATTCCGGGGACAACGCCTGCGAGCGCGCGGGTCTTTCTGGAGTGTTCGGCGCACACAGGCGATGCCCAGACGAACTGGAAGTGGAAAGGTGCGGTAGTTTGCAGGATATCGCAGCAGATGGAGGGCTCGAACTTAAGGCAGTCGTCCAATTGTCAGCAGCTTGGGTCGTCGCAGCCACGTTGTCGCAAAGAGGCTTGCGAGGAGGCCAGCGGCCTGCGCGCTGACAATCTCATCGGATCCTCCATCTGCAAAGGACCCCGACCATGTGAGAAACACGCTGGACGCCACCTGGCCTGAACGTAGAGGCCGGAAACGCTAAAAGCAACCTGGCTGTTTGCACGTCGGCTTTGCAAACTTCGCCAACTCAGCATGCGAAGCACTACGACCGTCATGTCTTGTGCATGGTTTGTGTTAAAACCCTCTAGGCCCCGTGCCGAAATTGGGTAGCTGTTCTGAGGTCCTTGTTGGTGTTGCTTCCCAAGTTCCATTGATCGCCATTTGGCTCAAGACATAATTGAGGTTCAAGATCTGATGTGTGACTGCATACATACGTGATCGGCATTGAGAGCGAAAACACTTCGCTTGCGCTGCATTTGTCAGGACTACTGTTGTAACTATCATTCCTTCTCCCTTACAACGTTTACACGGGTTCGGCTATAACGGCATCGTCCGTATACACCTTTCTACGTGGGTGGTATTAAAGCTTGAGGGTTCGGTGCACAGCGTCCCACGGGACGTCACCTTGCCGTCTCTTGACAGGTTATCAGCCGTATCGACAAGCTCTACACTGGACAGAGAGACAGCTGGTTTATTGCGGGTACAGGGACAATAAAGGAACGATAACCTACACAGTACAATGGCGTCTTCAGCGAGCCCAAGTTTTTGTTTTCCTTCCTCTGGTGTTTTTTTGGTTTTTTTTTAACCGTTTTTGTATTTATTTCGGGGAGCCCAAGTACTGCAACTTTTGGGAACAGCAGCTCAGAGGGATCCAATGGATTGATGGCTCTTCCTGAGGTGATGGATATGATCGCAGACTCACAGGATGAACCTGGGAGCGGTGGATCCGCGCTATTCAGCGACATATCCACTCCCACAAGATCATGGAAGCAGATCGATGTTCATCAGGAGTCGAAGCAGAGAGAATCCCCACCGAGAAGATCGTCATCTTCGCCTGCGACACCACGGACGTCGCAGAAGGGCGTGAGGTCAACATCAAAGGGTGGGAGGTCAAAATCACCCACCAGTGCTGAGTTTCGCGCCGCGATTAAAGAGAAGAACAAGATGGAGGTAGAGATCGGGGAATATCAAAAGACACTTGATGAAATGTCGGCAGCGATGGCGAATCTTCATCAAGAAGACTATGGAAGCACCATCCGGATCCAGGAGCTGGAAAGACGATGCGAGATTGCCAGCAAGCAGTCGGGACATCTAGTGAGTCACCACCAACACCACATGGCTGAGGCATGGCGCAAGTTTGAGGAAGAAGCCCAACAGATGCGCAAGGTGGAAATGACCGCATTTCAGTACGGGGAGAAGAAAGACATGGAGTCGAATATTATAATGCAACAGATGAGGCAAGCTGAAGGAACTATCATGGAGCAGAAGCGGGAGATTGCATTGATGAAATCCTACATGGCAAGCGAGAAGTCGGCCGCGCAGGAATCAGCTATACGTGCAAATCAGATACACCGTGAGGCTTCACAACAGATATCAGTTTATCAGCAACAGATCAGAGGCATAGAATCTTCTACATCTATCGAGAAGTTCAACGAGGAGGAGATGGTCCAAAGTCTGAAATCACAGTTGGAGCATGCACTCGTCAAGCGCCCCGAGACGTACTCTTTGGAGGACTCCAGGGATCAGCTGATGGCGAGGCTGAATGACGTTACAGTATTTGCGGAACAGGAATCGAAGAGAGCAGATTGCTTGCTTCGCGAAAAAAGAAGAGATCGTCAAACAGTATGAGTCCGACGTGTCGATGAAGGACCAGATGATTGCTGTCGAAGGTGGTCATCGTCAGGATGCGATCTTGGAGTTAGCCCAGGTCAAAGAAGAGAAACAAGAGGAACGGTGCACGATGGACGAGAAGTCGAAGGAGGCTGAGTACTGGAGATTGACAGCTAAGGGAATGTACGATGAGTACCTCGAGGAGATGCAGGAGCTTCAGAGACAACTGAAAGAAAGAGAGGCGACGCTCAAGCAAGAAGAGAGTTTTGTACGCCAACTCGATGCTGACAACGAGGAACTACGTGCACACAAGAAGCTGGAGA